TAAAGACAGACTGCTCGAAAAATGGAAGTATAACCAACCAATCATCTCCCAACAGTGAGTCAGTCGAAATGCCAAAAGGAAAAGGGAAAAGAAGAAAGATAATCCGATGTGTCTCTGAATCCAATTCAGATTTATATTTGGGTCTAAATTAGTGTCTGCTATACAGAACCCTCAGAAAGAGAGGCAATAAGGCAATCATATTAGCTCCAAAATAATTGCAAAAACTGGACCAAAGAAGGAAATACCATGCATGTCATATCATCCTACCATAGAGTAATTATGCAAACAAAGTAATGTAAATACCAAATGCTAACTTTAGCAGAAGATCTTCTGTATGAGGATGAAGGGAGGTGAGTGTTTAGGGAAAAGGTATAGGAACTAAAGTTTAATCTCCATAGTCCATAGTAGAGGAACAGGCAACATCTAGAGCAGAAATAATCAGAGAACAGTATAGGAATCATGGTATCTCGTGATATAGAGACAAATAGTGCAAGACAGTGAAAGACTTGAAAGTGGTTATCTCTGAGTAGTTAAGATGGGGATAACAGAAAAAAAAATTGAAACTGTTCTTTTCACTAAAAGCATTGGGAGGAAAAAACAATACCACGTATATGTAGTTCCCAATTTTGTGTTTTTATGAGTTCTGTTCCCTATCTCTGTGTGTGTATGTGTGTGTGTCCATGTATCTTGTGTTTTTTTTCTATATTCTGCTCTTTGTTTTTGTTATCGTTCTTTGCCTGTTTGTTTTTAGTGAGAGCTTGCTCTGGTGATCACCTGTCTCCAACTAGCAAGTGCTGGATGGTGGATGTCACATTCACATAGTATTTACATGGGTTTGAGTGATCCAAACTCAAGTCCTTATGTTTGTATGACAGATGCTTCATCCATGGTCCCACATCCTTCTTAATGCATCTTAATTACTAAGTTTGCTGGATAGGTAGGATCTGAGAGGAGTTGTGGAAGGGGGAAACTGTGACCAGGATATAATGCATGAGAAAAAAAATTTAATTAAATAAAAATCTCAACTTGAAATTACTTAAAATAAAATAGTATGTTAAAATCATCTAAGTTTATGGTCAAACCTGAATAATTATGAGCAGTATGCATACCAAGAGATTCTGACAATGAAGACATTAATTGGGTACAGAAAAAAAAATCACAACTAGACTGTTGTTCATACCAAAGAGTAGCAAGAAACAAAGTAACAACTGCTTTGGAGGAGCTAAGAAACAATTGAAGTTACAGCTCTGCTTCATAAATTGTAGGGTCTACTATATTAGAGTTACAGACTATTGTAGCTGCAAGAAATTATACACATGGCTAACTATTTCCCTCATTTATGGCTATTTGGACAAGATTACACAGCTGCTCAGTGCAGAATCTGAACGCTTTGTTCCTTAGCCCTCATATTCACTACATCACAGAGTGTCTATTTTGTAAAGCGTGTGTGCGTGATATTATGAGTATGTGTATTCGAGTTCATGTGAGGCTGGCAGTTAACATTGGAATTCTTCTATTATTCTCTAACTTACTGAGGCAGGCCTCTCAATTTGAACCCAAAGCTCACCTGTACACAGTCTAAGTAACCAGTATGCTCTGGTGATCAACTGTCTCCAACTTCCAATTGCTGGATGGCAGATGTCAAACACACACAGTATTTACATGGGTTTGAGTGATCCAAACTCAAGTCCTTATGTTTGTGTGACAGATGCTTTATCCAGGGTCCTACGTCCCTACCAATGTATCTTAATTACTAAGTATTAAGTACATTCAGTGCTTATTAGTAATAATTAGCACTTCACTTAAAAGGAGAATTCAGGCTGGTGTGGTAACACATGACTCTAATTCCAGTATTTAGGAACATGAAGCAACAGGGGGCCTGCCTACCACCAGTCATTGCCTGAGCAAATGGTTCAGATGAGCCCAACATGAGCTACACAGCAAAGCCATACCTCTGGCCAACAAGATGACTGATTGGGCAAAACCAAATGCCTCTACCCCAAAGACATAACTGAATTCCCAGAACCCACAGGATGCAAGGAGAAAAGTAACTCTTAAAAGTTGTCCCCTGATCTACACATACAAGCACACACACACACACACACATTTAAATGTGAGGTGTCACACAGAAAAAAAAATAAGTAAAATTGATTTTTAATTAAAAATTTTCATCTCAAAAAGTCTACTGGAGCTAGAGAGGTGGCAGAGTGAGTAGAGTAGCTACTGCCCTTGAAAGGGATACTGGTTGGGCTCCCTGTACCCACAGAAACCCCCTCACAACTGCCTGTAACTCTAGCTCCAGAGAGTTCTGCAGGAACCAGCATTCACATACACACAAACACACATAACTGGAAACAGAAAATCATTTTTTTTAAAGTCTACTTGAATAGAAGATGACCTGTAAAAATAGGAAGATGGCTGCCAACTTGACCAACTATGCTGTTCTGGGTGGTACTGTCTGCTACCAGTGTCTGAAGAGCATAACCATCTTGCGACCAGGTATATTGCTTCTCTACCACCCCTTCTGGAATACGAAGAAAAAGCTGATCCCTGAGGAGTTCTTCCTGTTCATTTATCCTAAAACTGATGTAACAAGACCCTAGATACTTAGACCTGGGCTTATCTTCTATTTTCTATCCAAATAAATAAATGTAATTAACCCAGAGACTTACTGTACATAACAGTAGTAAGGTCCACTATGGGATTAAAAATTATAGTAACTCTATGGGGGAATTTACTGATAAACTTAGCAAGCAAAAAACTGTTCAACTAGAATTAAGGACCATGAAAGGAATTTAGGATATAACTGACATAGAGAAGGCACAGCAGACATTAATTCAGAAGCAGGACTACCTCTATAGTTTGAAAAAATGACATCACTGTAGCTTTGGAGGTCACTTACTGGCAACAATTTTATAGGGTAGTACATGAGCTACATGTGATAGGAGGGAAAGAATCACCTAGACTACCATATTTCTGGTCAGGACATGATGTGGCAAAGGGACCAAGAATATATGACAGACTGGGCGAAGAACATGATGTAGAGCACTGTTGCACAGCAAGGAAGGAGACAACTGCCAAGTGCCAAGTCTCTCTCAACTGAGACAGCCAGAAAGAGTTCACTAAATGAGAACTGATCTGTGTAACAGTATCTCCTGTGCCTCTGGCTACTGAAATTACAACAATCAAGATTCAATGAGTGGCTTAAACCCACTGTCCAGTCAGGTATGTCTGATCCTTGTTTTGCATCTGAAGTTGTTTAGTTTTGAATGAGCAATTTGCAGCAACTTGCTGGCTAAAATGACCAAGCTATAGTTTACCCTTGTAACTTATTATACTATCTTGGAATAAACTGACAAGTAAAATGGGAAAAAGTAAAAAAATAATATGAAATTTTAATGAAAGTATTGATCTTTTAGTTTGTAAGACAATCAGGCATAATCAAGGAAATGGGTAACTGAAGTTTCTTTTCCTACTTTTTATTAAAAAAAAAAATTGAACTGAGAAATTTTAACATCTTTACTCTGTCCAAATTACAGACTCACTCATTTGTTGTCCAGTTTGAAAATGGAAATAAAAAGTGCATATGTTATTGTATTTGTATTTATAATACTGCTCAAACTATAGAGAATTCCCTTATTCAGGTAAGTGATCATAACCTAGGATCTAATATTCAACTCAAAACAAGTTCTGACAAAAGATCTGCACTATCCAGCCTAGAAACCCTATGGAATTGGTAGCATTCTACAGACACTGTACTTAGGACATCGGCTCATTAATGCTGAGAACCCATCATCAGTTACCACACAGCATTCAAGTTCTGGATCAAAGCTGGACTTGGTGGCACACACCATTAGTTCCTGGAGGTTTAACCGTATAACTGGAGGCAGAAGGCTAGTAAGACGGAGGCCAGCCTGGAAATTTGGGACTTTTAAAAACTAAATTACTAGTTAAATATCACCCAAAGATTCCCCTCACTTTAACAAAAGAAGTACACGTATAAAGATATTGTACATGTATCTTCATTATCACTCTACCTCATGTTCAGAATCCTAGAGACACTGTTTGTCCCCGAGTTGGAGGTTATGTGATAGCAGTATAATTACATGTTATTTTTCCATTACAACATATTTCTAATACAAAAGTTCCTATTTTCAATCATTTTCAGGAAGCTCTTAAGATTTCAACATGGAAAAAAGTTTCTTTCTTAAAGCAGGCATTTAATAATCTTTAATATGTCCAGTTCAATCTCTCTCACACATATTCTACTTCAAATTTCCTCTATAGTGAATATACCAAACAGGATACTCAAGGCTTTATAGCAGTAACTGAAACTAGAGCCTTTCCTATGCTTGTATATTTAGTCACACAAACGCAATCTGCTGTGTTTATAATCAGTAAACAGTAATAGTTATTCTGTACTGCTTCATTATTTTAACATTTAGGTTAGAGTAGAAAAATCATTTCACTATAACCAATGCTTCCTCATACTGTAGCACTAAGAATGAGCACTTACTACTAAAATCATATCCATGTTTCCTGGCCTAAGAGTTCCAAAGGCTCTTCCATGTGACGAAGGCTTCCATGCTTCATTAAATTCAGAGAGGGCAAAAAATGAGAGGATTATTTAAAGCAACAAATATATATATATATATATATGTATATGTATATGTATATGTATATGTATATGTATATGTATATATCTGTTCAGGAGCAATAAATATATCTGTAACACCAATAGTTCATAAATATGTCTTCTGTGTCCCTAAAACCTCTCAAAATCAACATATAATTAAGTCAGCTAATGAAACACAATCCCTGCAAACTGTGTGAAAAGAGGCTTCCCATATTACATCTCTAGAGCATGGTTTATAAATAAATGATACCAAAGCATTTGCTATCAAATTTCTATTTTAGAAATAAGTCATTTATTTTAAGGGACCCTACCAAAATGTATTTTGTTATCAAACAAGTATAACTAGTAATGAAGCAAAGATATCTGTAATTGTGGCAAGGTGCTAATTTGTTTATTAAAAAGTATACAAAATTAGCTTAATTATAACATCAACTTATCAAAGGTTCTTAAAGTCAATTTTGCTTTTGGAAAAGTATCAAGTGTTCATATCCAGAATAACAGCCTTTTATCATCTTGATTTATGGAACTATACATCAGATCTTCTAACAATGACATCAAACAAAACCCTGTATCATAGTATCCCTTTCCTGATAGCTTGGAATGTAAATGAAAATTTGTTTTGTTTTTTGTTTTGTTTTATTGAAGGAAAAAAATGTGAACAAAAGACCAAACATATGTCAGAATGGCTTGTTGCTGGAATTTAACATGAACAAATTAACTTTACATTGTTAAAAAAATAGCCTTAAGTTGATTTTTTTTCTTTATTAAAAAAGCTTTTAAAGCAAGTTCGATCTCTGAGCCTTACAACAAAACAGTTCATTAGTTTTAGCTAGGAAATTCACATCCACAAAAGGCATCCTCCAACAGTACATATCTTAAAAGTATATATACACAAAACTAAAGTTCTTAACTGCTAACAAACCTAGGAGCAATAATTTAATATTCTATTGAAAAATACAGGTAGCCTTAAGAGAAACATGCTTGGTCAATCTTTCTTAAAGCTTTTGAGTTTGTTGCCAAAACTTTTAAAAACAAAGGAAAAAAAATATTGTCTCTTTCCTGTTGGCTTTTAAGATATCAATTTACAGACACTAACTAAAAGAAGTATCAGGGTACCCAATCATATTTGTCATGAATTTAAATATTCATCTATAATCTAGAATATAAAAGTAAAAAATATATATACTTTCAGCCTAAGATGAGTTTACCTAATAAGTTTTACATGAGAAATATCACATGAGACCCAAATAAACATCAGATACAAAATTATATGACATGGCTTCATTCAAACACACATAATATTCAAGTCAGAGAACTAGACTGGCTTTCTTATATCACCAGCTTTCATGAGAGCCTTAATCGCTCTTGCCCTCATTTCAAGTTCTAGAAGCTCCAGCTGCTGTGCAGAAGGCTGAACATCTTCCGGTGGAGGAACAGTCAGGGTGGCCGCTTTGAGTTCCTTTGGGCTAGACTCTGCCAGTCCCAAAATCTCATTGACACTTTTTTCAATATCTCTCTCCAGGTCATCTATCGGGCCAACTTCACTCTGGACTGTATTTTCTGGGACCTCTGAAGCAGCAGCAGTAGCAGCAGCAGTAGCAGCAGGGATGGCATTGGCAGCAGCAGCTTCTTCATTGCTTGGGCCTTCTATATCGCTGTCATAAGCATCTGCATTTATACTGAGTACATCACTATCTTCCCCTTTGCCTGAAACAAACAAAAAAAGGGGGGTGGGGGAGAACCATGTAACCCAAAGCCCTGGGTCAACATTTCCTTCTACTTAAGATGAAGAGGTTGCCCTGACCTACCCCCCACTATAAAGGCCCAAGTTCATCTGTAATCCTTATTGCACTTATTTCTTTCCTAACTCTTTAACTTGAAAACAAATATATCTCATGTAAATCTAAGAGTAGTTTTCATCTCAACTTCATGAAACACAGACCATTGGGAAACTTAGTTCATCATGTGGAGTTCCCTTGATCGATTATCCTAACTAAAATGCTATAACATCTTATACCACAATGAAGTTTATACATTACAAAATCAAGGCTCATGTTGAAATCCTTTTAAATCGAGCATTATTGGGGAAATACCTTAAAGGATATTTAAAACACTTTGCTTTGTAGACTACAAAGAGGAAGAACTATCATCAAGAAGCTAGCTATTCTGTACATCACTTAAATCTTCTTATATACTTATTCAAGCACTTGATTCTAAATCAGTAAATTAAAGAATATCCAAAGCTACTATTAACTAAAATTAAAAATGGGTCTTCATTTTAAATTAATAAAGTTGGTATACAATTATTTTAATAATAACTGCAAAACGCTGATGTCAAGAATTTAATCTAAATAAAGATTATGATGGTCCAGTACCATCTTGGCCTTGGCACTGGGTATTATCTAACTTCAAATATCTTTACAATTCTGAGTTCTCATTTATTACTCTAATTTATTTTAAGTTATTATTTAAAAGTTAATTCTCAAACCTTTGGCTTTGATACCTTTCCTATAGTGGAAGAACCTTATTAATGAAATTGATTGGCAAATGAAAACAACTGTTAATAGAATGAACAGGAAAAAAATTCTACTTCATTTGCTTTATAACAGATACTCTATTGACCTTACCCTAAATCATTTTAATTAAAACAGCACTTCCAATTCCAAAATTAAGGTAGAAAACCAATCAATACATTACTTTTGTTGCCACAAATAAAATGTGTAAAAAGGTTCCAACTTTAGTAGATTCTAAAGAGCATTTCATGTATCTCCCCCCAAAAGTAAGAATTTACAATCAGTAAGAAAATAATTACAGCAAAATGTATAACTCTTCTGTTGTACAAAACGGTTGATAAAAATATTCTAGCTTGAGATTTAAAAAAAAAAGCATAAGAAAGCATGTGCTATGTTGTTCGAAGCCTCAAAAAGTCAATGCTCATGTAGAAGATTTGGGGCCATTTATAACCAAACAGATAGCATGCTTTGACATCTGTGCAGAACACATGAATTACATTGCCATGAAGGCTTCTACCAAGAGAGGTCTGAGCAGCCAAGGATTGTGTAGCAGGGCTAGGATCCCTCTGAGCAGCCCTTCAGAGGGGGGAATGGGAATGGTTTGCAAAGGGGATGCTATAGGGGGTATCTTGTCTTGACATCACATTCTATTCTTTGCTGTCTTCTTTTGTTTGTTCTCTCCTCACCCATCTCTCCCTCCCCCTCTCCCCCCCCCCCCCCGCTTCCTGCCTTGCCACCACATGAACAGGTTCTGCCACATGTTCCCATTGCCACAATGCTCTGTCTCCCAGCATGCCTGGAAACATGAACTAAGTCTATCAGACTGACAGAACACCTGAAACAATGGAAGAGAGGAAAGATTCATTAGCTTTCAGTTCATGGTTACATGGCAAACAGGAAGAGAGGAACAGGTGAAGGGCCAGGGATACACATCTCCTTGGGATAAGTTCCCAGTGGCCTGCTTCTAGTGACTGGGCACTTAAAATTCTATAACCTACCAAACCACCCACATGAGTCTGTGGGGACATTTCATACTCAAATTGTATCTTCTTTTTCCCCCTTGAGCGGATAGACAGCTTTCAGACACCTTGCTGTGACTAAGAAGCACAAAATTACACATACTTTCACTTAATTTGAATAATTTTCAAAGCCTGTTTATATGGCTTACTTACGAAGTAGCTACAGCTCAAGAGTCACTCTGCCCTGAACTGACATAGTGAAATGCTTTATAAAGTCAGCACCACCAAAGATTCAGGGTAAAAATGTTCATATATTCATACCCAATATCTCAAAGGACAAACCAAGAAAATGTATTTCAAACATATAAATAGACAAAAGATATACTGCTTTATACTTGTGCTTTTCCAACAACAGTGCATCTATTCTATCACTAAAGAAGTTTGGTGTTCTCTGCTCACATTCAAAATTATCAAATTCAAGTAACTTGAGTTATCTACAACACAATATTGCTGGAGGCATTCCTAGGTTACATCTGTCCATTATAAAAACACCACAAGTACCAAAGCTGAAATGATTTTACATATGTACTTTTTACACAATTAAAAGCAAGTGACCTGTAGAAGTTATTATGTGAAGATATTAATCATTTTTAGCCTTTTCATTATTTCTTAAGTTTCATCATTTCAGCAGAATCAGTAAGTAACTCAACTTTTTAAAATCACCACCTCTAAACATGAGAATACATTTCCAAGATAATTTGCTCCCATGGTTTCTCAACAATGAATGAAGACTTTTTAAAGATTTGTTCTTGTGTCTCACAAAGCAGAAAAAGCAAAAGTTATATATTCTTTTCAAAGAAGTGGTTGGTTATCCCAAAGACCATACAGGGGCTGGTCCATGGCCCCTGGCACATACGTAGCAGAGGACTGCCTTGTCTGGCCTCAGTGGGAGAGGATGTGCCTAATCCTGTAGAGATTTGATTGCCACACGGCCCCCCAAGAAGGATGATGGGGGTGGGGTCAGGTGGGAGGGGGGGGATGAGGGTGTGTTTGTGTGAGGGGGTTGGGAGACAGGGGTCTCAAAACGAGGAAAAAAACAGGAAGAAAAAATTAAAAATAGAAAAAATTCTATTAAGTAGGAAGAGCTTGAACAGATAATGTGTTAATAAAGCTTTAGAATTACTTTTCAGAAATTTACATTCAAACTTTTTTCATAATGAAGATATTCATGTACCATGAATGTTTTTAAGAATCCCAAAACTCAGTTTGCAAGCTAATCACATATTTGGACTTTATAAAAGCACTAGTACTTAAGTCTAGTTAATTACTCAAGTTTTATTAAAGATCTTTAAAAAAAAAGGTTTGATGTATGCATGATATAAACCAATGATATTAAAATCCAACAAGAAATATAAAATTAAAGTAAGCCTGAGTTAAAATATCAAATATGCAATTAAAATAATGAGAATAAAAATTCAAACTATTAAAGACTAATCATCAAAAACAGTGCAGGAAAGAAATCAAGAAAAAAAATTGGACCCAAGTTGCTGATGTTATGGAGCTGCAGACTAATTAAAGTAACTTTATTCACAGGAACCAGGAGTCTGTAATATATTCCTTATATTAACTCTGCTCCTCCAGGAAGATGGTGATGCCTCACATTACAGACCATATAGCACACTTCAGAGAGGCACAGTATAGATAGAGTGAAGCAAACTGACTGTGGGAAAGGATTAACACACCTTCAGAACTTGGCTAGGCTGCAGTGGTAGGAAGACAAAGTGGAAGTGGAGGAGTAAAAAGTAATGAAGAGCACGGGGACTCCCTAAGCATCTTTTCCTGACGGCTGATGCTGTAGCCAACTCTGTGCCGATGACATTCTAGTCCATTGTCCTCTGGCCCACATGATTCACCATTTCTCTTTTGTTCATTTTCTTGCTATCTTCTTTCTGTCCTACCTATTTGATTCATATCCCAAACTCTGAACACAGGTACTAAAGAGTTTTAAATTATAAACCAATCCATCTAGACTCGATATCTAGACAGAAATATGAATCAATCATTACTCAAATTAACTGCTGACAAAGTGAATCGTCTGATTTAACAGAGAAATACCTGTTTACATTATCTGAGGAGCTACACATATGAGCATGGAACAAGAGCATAAAGGCTGAATATCTAATAACTAAACACAACATCTTATGTTCTTCAAACATTTTACTGCCAAGGAAAAGAAAACTAACCAATATCCATTCACTTTAAAATAAACTTCTGGGCCAAGGGTTATAGGTTCAATCTCCAATGCTGTGCATGCACTGAGAGACACACACAAGTAACATACCAAGCGTGTAAATAAAAGGGCATGTACTACAGATTAGGAAAAGCAAAAACGCAATTTTACCATAATCTACAACAAACTTCACTGCTTGAAAACTTCAAGGTTCCATAAATTAGGTAAGGGGAAAATATTTCATGTCATAAACTTGATTTTTCATAAGTATTTTAGATAGGAAAGCTAAACGGGCAGTGGTGGTGCACCCCTCTAATTCCAGCAATTGGGAGGCAGAGGCAGGCAGATTTCTAAGTTCGAGGGCAGCCTGGTCTACAGAGTGAGTTACAGGACAGCCAGAGAAATATAGGGAAACCCTGTCTCGAAAAACCAAAAAGAAAAAAAAAAAAGAAAGAAAAGCAAATAAACACAAAAACACTGATGACATCACAGTATAGCTCATGAAAGATAAAAAGCTATTTTAAGTTACATTAGCATATTTAACACCCATAAGGGCTTATACTATTGTAGTTAATTCAGTTCTTATTCGTAACATAAAAAGCTAGCCTGTCTGTAACACCTTTTGTACATTCGTACATAAAGCCAAGAGACAAGCCTAGGATAGGGAGTATTTACACAGCTGTCCAAATTTCTGCAAAAGTCAACTAGTCACACAGGAGAGAAATACCTAAAAGATAATAGCACAAAAATGTAAATTAACTGGAGAGAAGGCAAGTAAATATGAGCTATTCCTAAGCAAAAAGAAAAATGAGAGACTCACAAAGAAACCACAATGAAGTTTTTTGATCAAAATCCTAGGATTAGAGGTACAGCTCAGTCGCAGGTGCTGGCCTAGCCCATGCAGGAATGGGTAGAGCCCTGGTACTGTAAAAATAAAATGAGAAAAGAATAAAAAAAGAAGAAGAAGAAAAGAAAGGGGAAAGGGAAGAAGGGGAAGGGAAGGAG